ATTTGCATCATCCCAGGGATGTAAGGATGGTTCAAAACATTCAAATTAGTAAATATAATACATCACAAAATAATATATAAATCACATTACCATCTCAATAGGTGGAGATTTTAAGCCTTTGACAAAATCCAATATCTACTCATGATTTTTTAAAAACCTGACAAAAATAGGTATAGAAAGATGTTACCTTAATCTGCCAAGAGTCAATTATGACAACCCCACTGCCAACATAATGCTAAATGGAGAAAACCTGAAAGTATTTCCACTAAAATCAGGAAGAGGAAAGGGTACTTTCTCCACTTCTGTTCAATATGTTGCTTGATACTTTAGCCAGTACCATCAGGCAAGAGAAAATAAAAGGAGTTTGAATAAGAAAGAAAAAAGTCAAATTATCCTTACTTGCATATGGCATGATCTTTACACAGAAAACCGAAAACTCCAGCAAAGACTCTTTGAAATAATGAAGAAATTGAGCAAAGTACCAGGATACAAATTCAATGCATATTGTTCCTAAATGCCAGCAATGAATTCACCCAGAAAGACATCAAGAATATAATCCCATTCATAATAGCTTAAAAATAATAAAATATTTAGAATTAACCTAACCAAGTAGGTGAAAGAGCTCTATAACAAAAGCTATAGTACTTTGAACAGAGTTTGAAAAAGACATCAGGCATAAGCATAAGGACTTTATGAACAGAAATACAATTGGACAAAAAATAACAAAAACCATTACATGGAATTATATGAAATGCAAAAGCTACCACACAGCTAAAGAAATAGCCATCCAACAGAGGAAAGAAATAACCTACAAAATGAAAATAAATTTTTGCTACCTAATCCTTTGATAGAAGACTAATATCTAGGAGTATGTACAAAAAAAACTAACTAAAAAGTTTGGATCCCTATTAATACAAGACCCAGTCAAAAACTGAACAATTGAAGAGACACTTCTCAAAAGTAGTACAGATGGCCAGTAGGTACATGAAAGTGTTCAGTCTCTGAACTTTAGTGAATGCAAATCAGAACACTGAAATTCCATCTTACTCCAGAAAGTATAGCTGTAACAAAGAATTTAAAAAATGCTGCCAGGATTGGGAGGACAAGGGAACCCTTCCTACATTGTTGGTGGGAATGTGAACTAGTACAACCATTATGAAAATCAGTAATGAGATTCTTCAAAAAACTAAAACCAAAAACCCAAAAATTCCATTTGACTCAGCTATATCTAAAATCTAGGTATTTTCTTAGAATAGTTAAAGATGTCATAGTACAGTGATATATGCATAAAATTGTTTATAATAGCACAACTCATAACAGGTAAATCTTAGAGACATCCTATGTAACCATCACCAGATGAATGGGTAAAGAAAACTGCTATATGTACGTAATGGAATATTATTCAGTTTCAAAGAAGGATAGATTTGAGTCATTACAGGAAAATGTATTCACTTGAATCCATAATGATAAATGAGCAGGGGAGATAGCTTAGCAGCATGACTGCCTGCCTGGCAAGTGCGAGGTCCTGAGTTCAATCCTTGGTAACCCACCCTTGCAACAAAAAAGAACATAATGCTAAATGAAATAAGTCAAACACATAGTTATATACTGTATTAGTTTTCTCATGAGAAATCCAACATTTTAATAATTTAAAGAACAAAATAAAAAGAGATAAATGTGGGAATCTGGAAATAGTCAGAGAAGGATAACTAGAATAAATAAACTAGACTAAAATGCAATATGTGTATGTACCAATTCCCTATGACAAGTAAATTTTAGGGATACCTGAGTTTATAAACTTGATTCTTCCCAAGATTCTGGTTGCAAATTGAGTTGGATGAGAACCAAATCAAATTCAATGTTTAAGTTCAATGCTGTTCTTATCAGGAAATTTGACTCAGTTCTGTTGGGTTTACCTCAGTCCTAGTCTACCTCATGCATGAGGTAGGCACAAATAATAGATCTGAAAGTAGACCTTCATTATGAGATGTTTTTTGGTATTTTAGTAAGGATCTACAGAGTCTACAGGGTCTCACTATGTAAATTGGATCCTCCTGTTTACAGCCTCCCAAGAGCTGGGATTACAGGCATGTACCATCACGCCCAGTCTCAATTGCTGTCTCAGCACACCCCCAGGGATGGCATGGCTTGGCAGGCCTGGGGATTGAACACTGGCCCCTGTGCCTGCTTGCAGGTGCTTTAATCTTCTGAGCTATCTGGCCAGCCCTTCATTATGGGATTTGATACTGAGTTCAGCCTCTAGGTCATTGGGATTTTCAAAAGACCTTCCCATAATGAAGGTCTATTATTACAAATAATTTCAGATCTATTATTTATACCTACCTCATGCATGAGGCAGACTAGGCCTGAGGTAAACCCAACAACTACCAGGTTGGAACATGTTAAAGTTCACAAAAGCCCATGGTTAACAAGTTGAGTGAGATGTTTGGCAAAGAAAGTATATGACATTAAGCTTATACCTGAACAACGTGGACCAATCAGAAAAAATGCCTCTTTCAATCCTTCATTTTAATCTGGTGCTGTTTGCTGGATCAATCAGAAGATGCTATTTTCAAACCTTCATCTGCATGTGGGCAAAACAATGAAGACACTGTTCCCAAACCTTTATTTATATCTGTTGGGAATCCCAGTTGGTCTTTCATGGGGCAGTTTAAGTCTGGCACCAGGCCACATGTTTCAATGCCTTATTTCCATGAAAAAGAAGCCAACCAAAGAATTTTGGATACCAAAAACACCACGTTCTCCTTATCCTTGGGGCCAGCATGAGTGAGCCTTTTCATTGGTGCACTCTTTGCCTTGTAGGACATCTTTCTTTTATGTCTTCAATTAATGTATACCTTTACTGCCTTTTCTGTGTGTCTTGTCCAGTTCTTTGTTCAAGAAGCCAAGAACCTGGAAAGAATATCCATGAACCCACTATCCCATAACAGGCAGGCTGAATAAATGGCTGGAATGAAAGCTCATATTTCCTCTCCAAGGTTAACTTATAGCACATTTGATTTTACAAACTGCCTTAATAAATAATTGTCACATTCTACTGAAATTTCTATCAATACTTTGAAATGGAGCACCAAATTTAATTATCCTACTTTATGTATAATATATACATATATTACATTTATTACAATGAGGAAGTTAATGAAATATATGCACATAAAAGTATTATCAAGAAGGATTCACTCCCCTCAAAAAAGTATTACTCTCCTGTGTGTGTTCAAGTAATAAGTAGGGCTGGGCTCTGGAAATACAGAACAGGCTAAGATTCAGAAGAGCTTCAGCAGAAGCTCCATCTTTGCATACAAACAAAGCTATGCTAGAGTATATTAAAGGAAAGTGTGTATGATATGTGAATATAGCAAGGACATCTACCTGAGTCTGGGGTATCATGTGGGTACTGAGGACACGGAAAAAGTGCCTGAGCTAATTACTAAACACACAGTAAAACAAATAGGTGGGGGAAAGCTTGTTAAGGAATAGCTCCTCAGATAGAAAAACAAAATTTGTGTATGTAGAGACTTACAAGAGCTGGAGTCAACTGTTGAGAAGCAAGTGCTAAAATTTGAGCTGAGGGCCATGGATATAGCTCAGAGGCAGAAGGGTCTGTCTGGAAAACGCAAGGTCCTGAGTTTGATTCCTGGTACCAAAAGTAAAAAATAAAAATGAAAAAAAAAGAAAATTAGAGTTGTCTTGTAATGGACAGAAATGGCAAAGATAAGAATTAACATTTGGCAAACACATGTGTCTTAGATCAGTCCTAGGCCACTAAGACTGGTCAAAGGACATCTGGCCAATGGAGAAGACCTACTAGGTTTCTTTAATAGAACACCTTGATGTGTGCCAATCACTAGTAGTGTTGCCTGAAGAGAAAAATTCTGAGGAACCTTCAGCCATGTCCCTCAGGGACCAGGGTAAGATCGTGGTTATAGTTAGTAGTCCTTTTATGAACAACAAAACCATTTTTAACACAGCCTAGTCTCATCACTTAAAACACAGCAAAATGGAAAGTAATCACACTGCAACCATTATTTAATCTAAATCAGAGGTCCATGCCTCCCCCAGAGAGCAAAAACTTTGACCAGAGTCACATAAAACAGGCAAATTCAAGCCTCACACACCCACACACACAAGCTTGCTACTTCCATTTGCAATCAGACCTCCTGGCTCTGAGTCATCAAGTAACTTTCTTTGTGGAGTTATTAATAGGGCTTAAGTTTACATAAAAAATACCCTATAAGCTCTGTTCCACAGAAAGTTTAAAGTAACTCCTTGCATATGTGCAATCCATGACATCTTTCTCCTTTTCACCCTATAAATTAGTGGGCTGGAGTGACTGCCATCTCAGCCAGCTCTATACTCATGCTTTCTTATAAGCCTCACTGAAGGCTGCTGTATGTATACTAGGAGAGGAGGGGTCCCATGTACTTTGCTCATGTTCAGAGGCAAAGAGGAAAAGCTTGACATAACTAAAATATTTTGGTAGATTTCTTTCATACAAAGATTTCCAGGACACCCGAGTAAAGATGCACTGGAAGAAAGCACAAACCCAGTGGTTTCTAGGAGCTAGAAGGCAAGGAGGAGGATTGTAAAATCTAAAGCTACTTTCACCACCCTCACTAAATTGGACACTAGGAAGACTTTGCCTTCCTCAGGCTTTGCCAAGAAACTTTCTAAAGTTTAACATCTTGACTTTACACACAGTCATTTAAAAAAATGAGCACATCTCCAAAAGAACATCTTATACTCAAGTAGAGCTCTCATGGTTGGTCAAATTATACTTATCTATGCTGGAAGATTGGGATCAAACTTTTTTAATAAACTGAGTAGCTCACAAAAGGAGAAAGAATAGAGTAGCAACACTTAAGGCAAGCAAGCAAACCTACAGATTGAGAGGAAGCTATTTCAGCTTTAACATTGATATTTATTTCTTTTAAACCATTTTTCAATTTTTTGGGAAACCAAAGTGAGCTGTACTTTCATTCTCACCTACATGTGCAGGATTGTGCAACCATACCCTCATGTTCTTTGTACAAAATACTCCCATTTGCCTCCATGAGAAGAATACTCATGGGAACATACTTATAAGGGACACAGGAAGGCTGAGGGATGCTCTGGTTCACTAGCTCATTAACAAGATTCTGAATAATGGCATGATTGGGGGAATTGAGACTGTAGTGTAGTACTCGAGGACAAGTTCCCTTACAGTAATTCGGGGTATAGTGGTGGGGGGCAATGATCCAGTGATCCCAGCCCAGCTGACGGAAGCTGACTGTGTAAGGGTGGAGGGAACACTGGTTCTTTTCCGATTCATCATGTTCCCAGGAGGGGGCAGTAACCTCAGGCTCTACACTGTGTATTTGTCGAGACTTCCTCCTTGAGGCAAGAGAAGATTCCCCTTCTAGAAGCTCCTCCAGGCCACTAGGAAGAAGTTCAGCCTTCTGAGCAGTTTTGTGAGTGTCATTGAGATAAAGTAGCAAGAAGGCAACATCCATGGATAAAGTGTCATGCCAGGGGAACTCAAGAACCTCACTAATGTTTTGGGGCTGACACATAAAACACAGTCGTAGAACCCTCTGTTCTTTGCGATTCCAGAGCCTCTGCTGAATGTGTTGGGTGATATCCATCTCTGTCCAGGTTTGAGACATCAGGGACAGCTTTGAGGGACCTCTTCCTGAAGAATAGTTCTTTGGGCTTTTTGGGACCCATGGCTCCACGTGGCAGGAGAGGCTGATGTGCGCTAGGTAGAGCTGATGGCGGTAAACCACAGTGGCTCTCACTAGTTGGTAAGCTACCCAGTTACGTCCTAGAAGAAAGTTCAGGGTCCATATATGCCAGGAACCTTCACAAGAGAACACAGGGCAGGGGTTAGCTTCTTACCTTCTAGCCTCAATAGCACACATAAAACTTCCACAAAGATTGACAGATGTACTCAGCCCTACCACTAACCTAAGAAAACGATGGTACCAATAATTTTTTTAGTGTTTCATCATATAGTAGGTTTTTTTATGTTTATAAACTCTTATCCTCAATGGCCTGAGTTTGGTTTTTTTTTTTTTTTTTTTTGGTGGTACCAGGGATCAAACTCAGGAACTTGCGCTTGCCAGGCAAGCACTTATTCTACTGAGCCATCTCCCCAGCCCTGACCTGAGACTTTTTTTAATCTTCATTTTGCCAAGAAAACTGCGGGACCAAAAAGCTACAACTCTTGTTGCATAGGTCCTGCTTTACCTTGGTCTTAACCATCCAGTAGAAAAGTATGAAGACGAAATATAGGAAATAAAGCCATGCTGTTATGTTGAGCTGTGGGGGACTCAGGTCAATAATTTCTGACATTGCCAGTTAAACAGAAGACCCAAGGCAATTATAGGCTACTGGACTCTTTTAGAATATTTTGCTGAGTTTACACACCTATAATATTCAATAACGGAACTTAGAAAAAATGGGGTATACAGATGAATGTCCATTTTGTATCTGTGTATTCAAAGTGGTTAGGATAGATATATAGTTGCACTCTCTTAATGAATAGAATGATTTATTCTAATGGTGTTTGTAAATAGGATCACATCTTGTACAGCAATTAACCACTAAGAAGAATATATGCAGCGTATTATTTGTTGAAACTGTACTTCCAATTTGATTTGAAACTGTCTCATTGCTATCTGTTTATCAATAAAACTTTGAAAAAAAATAAAACTGAGGATCATAGAAACTTATAAGAAACACAGAGCCAAGAGCTGAGAATGTGTCTCTGTGGAAGAGCACTTATCTGGCATTGTGAAGCCCTGTGCTCAATCCCCAGAGTCACAAATTAAAACAGAAAGGACACACAGTTATGTGGTAGAATCAAAATTTGAAACCATGTCTGTTTCTATGAAGAAATCATGTTTTCTTTGAGTTCAGTCACATGTTTATGTTCACCAGGTTAAAATCTCAAATATGCAACTATATGTCATATTTTATTTATGGAAGTAGATAAATTATATTGTTGACTATTGCAGATTTTTCTCTTTTAACCACCTACCTATTTAACAACTGTTCAGCTTTATAACTGAGGCACACTGAACTTATGATCCATGCTTTTTTTTCTGTTTTTTGGTGCAGTTCTGCACATCTTGTTTATAAAGCTTCAATGTGCTTTTTGGACAGTATACCTTGTTTATATAATACTGTAATTTTTGGTGGTTGTACTATATAGTATACTACCTTATTTTTGTACTGAGGATTGAACTCAGGAACCTGTGCATGCTAGGCAGATGCTTATGCCACTGAGCTATCTTTCTGGCCAGTACTATACTTTTATGTACTGTTACACATTCCAGTATTTGCAAAATATTAGCAAAGTCATCAAAGTTGGAGTTTCCTCTGTTTCTCTGTTCTGAATATTGTACATATGTATAATTCCTCACTTAGCAACCAATTTACTTAGCAACCTTGATTGCAGAAACTGAACTCAGTCATTAAACGTGGAATGTCTGTGTTAGGTAACCAATTAAGAGAGATATTGTGACACATAGATTAAGAATGGCATCATGTATACCATGTATATTACTATATACACGAAGCTTTGGGATGGCAAAGGGTGCTGTGCTTACCATCATGTTAAAGCTAGGATCAAGACACCACAAAGTAACTTATCTATCTCCCACTACTGAGAACATCTTTTTTTTTTTGCCATTTCTACCTTCTACTAAGTTTAAGAATTGCTTTTTGAGAAATTTTTCCTCCTTTGGCCATCTCTTCTTTGTCCTTCAATTTCTCTTTTCCTTGCTGGAAATGGTTAACCATTTACCCCATTAATTTTATTATCACTTACCTAAATGCTATTTTAACCAGGCTTTTATCACATAAATACTGTATTTTGTTTTCAGAGAAACCTTATGAAAGCTGAATATCCTCTAATGAATAAAAGCTTTATTCTAAACCTCTAAGGCTCACACCCCCTGTTTAAGGCTCTGACCTTCTATTTCCCCTCCTGGCAAAGGTAAAAACAAAGATTATAAAAGCAGGTACTGTTAGGAAAAAGCCCTCTCTCATCTTCAAAGGTCCTAGCAAGCATTTCCATGTGAATTTATATATTATTCATCTAAACTTCTTTCTTCATGGAAGCCACAGGTCTGGAATTTCAGGGAGTTTCGTATAGGGACTTTCAACAAAGTCTTTATGTATTATTCCAGAATATTTTTAAATGTTCACATTCAACTTATACCTTCATGTTTACATAACTATCCACCAATTGCATGAGGTCCAAGCCAGGCTTCTATTTGCTTTCTCATGTTATTCCACAATCATATCTTATAAGAATTTTTTCAAGGACCCAACCCTATACTTGGCCCACTTTGCCTGGAAAGGAACCCAACTTAAACTTTCAGCATGCTTCTGGTCAGAAATGGCCTTTCAGATGTTGACATCTTATTTCTAGAAAGAGGGTGGGGTTGGTAAGGATCAGATCCAAAAGGATCTAACTTTGAACTTTTCAGGTAAAGGGATAATTCATACATCCTATATGATTGAAACTGCAATCATCTTCTGGGGACTCTTCAGAGACCCCAGATGTCAGTATGTTTTAAGTCACTCTGGAATGTTTGCCAAATTCTAGGCAATTTCCTTTTTAACTTTGTATCTTCTGTATGAATCTGATTCACCCAGCTATATACTGCACTTAGGAATAGAATCCAGACCCCTCAAGTCTAGAAGTTCCTGCTTCTCATAACTTCATATGTTGCCATGCTCCACACATTTGCTTAGTTCCTGTCACAATGATACTTGACAAGCTTGTTTCAGAGTGGTGGTGAACCTACAGCACTTGTGCTGCAGCCAGCTGCTTGTTATGGAAACCTCTAAAAGGTTCCCCATCACTGCTCCAGGGCCTTGCACATGTTCCTTCCACTTGAATGAACTTCTCTACTTTCTTATGCCTAACTTCTTACCTTATGTGCCTCTGCTAAAATGTCACCTTATCAAAATACCTTCACTTATAACTCCATAGAAAGAGAAGACAGCACTGCTATTCTATATCATAACAACCTTATTTCATTCTTAGTATTTGCCATAATTTGCAATGACTTAACTATATTTGCTTATCCATCTCCCATAGAAGAACATATGCTCCATGACAGTAAGTGTTTTACCTGTCTTAATCATGTCTATTTACCTAGCATTCACTAGGTGAATAAGTACTTATTGAATAAATCTCCATCCACACCAAGCTATTTTCTCTTTCCTAAGCCAGAAGGTACTTTTCTGCCTGCTTGTATACTAGTCTTTTCTGCTTCCCCAAGATCCAGCTCAAACATTGCCTCCTAAATGAAGCCTTTTAACTTACACTCTCCTTCCCTTTTCTGCCACCTGGGAATCTTGTTGCTTACCTCTTCAGATCACTCTAAATATCTAAACATTCTTGTGATTGCCTATCCATTCGTCTACACTAAGAGCTTGTAGATGACAGAAAAGTAGTTATTTTTCTCTATGCATCCAATCCAGAGAGCCTACTGCTCAATTAAAATCTGTTGGGGATTCAACAGACCTGAGAGCACAGGTTTGACACCTAGCTCTATCAATTACTAGCCAGGTAACACTGGTAAATTTAACCTGTGCCTTGGGTTCTCACTTATAAAATAATTGTATGAGGGCCAGAGAGATAGTTCACTTAATTCACTTTAAGTGCCTGCCTGGCAAGCACAAGTTCCCAAATTTGATCCTGGTACCAAAAAGAAAGAAAAGAAAAATGTGTTGCAAAATGCTTGGGGCAACAACATAAGCTCACAGTAAGTGCCATCTAGGTGAAATTTGGTTGTTTTATGGAGGCACAATGTCTATAGTCATCTGAGATTACAGAAATCCCCAGGTTGACCTCATGAAGATTTCAAGAGCTCCTTAAAACTGATAGCTGTCTACATTCTCTAGAGAGCCCTACACTCCAGGAGCTGGTATCTTAGAACAGTTTAATGCAGATTTTCAAAACAAAATCAAGCACTAATGGAGACAAGGCAAACTCCAAAACACATTTAGGGCCAACATTCCAAAGTAGCAAGATAGCCTAAATAGGAAAATTGCTTGGTGGACAGGGACATGGGGATACTGTATGTACAACTTGAGAAGTTCTGGACAAACTTTAGAATTAGTCTTGAGCTCAAACACTATCTCTGTACCCACTGTTTGTGAGACATTTGCAAGCTGTTTAATCTATCCATTCCTTAGTTTTCCTATCTTTAAAATCATGGTAATTGCCCCACGAAAGCAAATGGCAATGTGCTCCCTTAAAGGTTAAGTACACAGTCATGTGTACAGGGCCTCCAATGTTAGCTTGTTTCCGGCCTTTCTGAGTCTGCTCATTTTCCCTACCTTAGCCTTGAAGATCAAAAGCAACAGCAAAACTGCCCCAAGCCCCACATAAACAGCTGAGCATTTCTCAAATACAGTGTTTAGAGCTATAACAATGAACAATATTTCTATGAAAGACAGGGGTGTATATTTTTCTTATTTGTCCTGGGTCTTGAAACATTCCTCACTAAGCCCCAATGCAATCTAATTTTAAATTGGGGCCCTAAAAAGGAGATAGGCTTGATGTCAGCTTTTCCTAAGCTTGGAATGCTTTGAAAAGCCATGTTTGAGAAAGCAATCCACTCATAAATAAGGGCTGACTATGCCACGGATTCCTTGTCCTCTGCAGACTTCACCACTTCTCACCCCTCTCCTCAATAGGGCGACAGAACTCACCTCTAAGATGCCTTGATACATCGGTTGAGGGCATCACCAGCCTCACCATAGTGGCTCCAATTGTGCGGTTTTCCCTAGGGTGCCCATCTGAGTCAGCTGAACGCTGGTACAACTCCAGCATGAACTGCAGGGGAGGACCTTGAAGGTATGGTTTTCTCTGTTCCTTTCTAGGGGCTTCTTCTAGCAGCTTCTCAACAAGTGGCATGACAGGGGTTGTAGTAGGTGGCAAAGTGGGGCTATCAGCCAGGAAGGTAATAGAGGGCTGCTCCACCTCTGCCATTTGAACTCTCTCTTCCAAATAAAGCATTAGTCCAAAAAGAAGGAGGAGTCTAAGCGTGTTGAGCACAATCATCTTGAAAGGCTCAGTATTCAGTAACAGGTTCCAACCTAAGCCAAAGGATGCCACTGTGACCTTTCTTTCACACAAGTAACCACAATGTAGCTTCACAATCACCAAAGATGGGCCAAGAAAAAAAAAGGGCAGGCAAACCGGTCTTATTTTGCCTTCTATGCGAGGATCTCCAGAGCCAAAGCAGGTCCTCTCACGTGGCCTGTTGACATCAAACAAACAGAAAGAGCAGGTAAACAAGCAAGCTTGCCTTCCCCACTCTCCAGGCCTGGGAGCAAGGTGGTATTTCTTCAAGAGCCTGCAGTAACACAAAAGAGGGCCATTCCAGAACTTGCTAACTTACCTTATCCTGGAGGGTAAAACAAATTCTCCTGACCTGCTACTCACCACAGCTTTAAACATATGCCCTTAATTAGGCCTTAAAGGGCCAGAAGCCTTCTCTTCTTGCTTCACTTCCAAACCTCTAATGCAGCATTTCCCAAAATACTCTCTGCTGCTGATTTGTAGCAAAATTATCTGGGATGATTATTAAGAATGAAAAGTCCTGTGCCTGGACTCAAATACGGACTCTCTGAGGGGATCAAGTGTTCCAGGAATTTGCTATGAATGATAAAATGCAGATATCAGATTTTAGTGATTGTGGCTACTGGTGTCTGAAGAAAATGGCTTACCTACCAGTGGTTGTCAATCTTGGCTGTATTTGTGAATCACCTGAGGAGCTCCATTATGCTGAATTCCTGGATCTATCACAACCCCCTCTGGGAATTGTGATATAATGGCTCTGGAATGCGAGAGAATCTAGATTGCTTTTAGTGTGTAGCTAAACTTGGAAATTCCAGTTTGGGATTGTTTGAGTTTTCCATGAAAAGCGTTTAGTGAATTTTATTGGAGAAATCTGAGTCATTGGTAGGTGAATTTGTAAGATCTCACCTAGCCCAGCTGGTTAATAGGAGACAGCAGGGAGGGACCAGTTGATTAAGGCAGCCCCTGGGCCAGGATTATGAAGAAAGACAGCAAATGTAGAGTTGGCCTTATCCAAGTTTCTTGGGGTTCTGAAAAGATGAGGCAGGAGGTCAAGACCTGGTTAAAGGGATGATCAGTCAGGCATGATTTGTGGAAAGCCTTTACTTCATAACAGCAATATTTATGGACAGGCAACATTATTGTAAACAACTATACATTTTAGTTGGTAAGTGGTTATTTTTATGAGAGATCTTAATTTTTACATGAATTCATAAGAAATAGGGCAGATGTTCAAGCTCCCTTCCCTTCAAAGTGTGCTTCTCTGGGCAGAGCAGTCTGATAACAGAGTTGAAGCAGGGTACCTTTGTCTTTTGCTTTCTTCTTTTTCCAGTTATTTTCCTTCATTCATTTTAGAACTCTATCTTGGCTCTCAGAGAGCTTGATGTACTTAGTACTACAATAATTTTTCTGTTCAGAATTGTACCCTTAACTTCTGCCAACAGCAAGCTGCATAACACTGTAGATCCTTACAGTTCTACCATGGTAACACTGGTGGAGCATTCCTTTCTTGAACAGTAGTCATTCTGTTGATGTCCACAGTAGTACTCTTCTTGTAGATTCATATGTACATGGCCAGGAGGAGCTCTATGTTTCCTAAAAGACCAAGAAAACATATGCTAGGAGCCTCTCCTCTCCGTTTATCATTTTGCTCCATTATTACATGAAGTCAAATCCAGCCACAAAGAAACCAATATTTATAATCAGACAACTCTATTATATGAGACATGAGTCTATTTCTTATTAGCTGTTACTTAACCTGTCTAAGACAAATTTCTTCATTTCTCTGAGCCTTACTTTACTCACTTATAAAATAGAAATAACACATTTCATCTCATAGGTTATTAGAAAACAGAAGTAACTAATTATGTTAACCATGCAAACCTACTTTAGATACACGGCATATGGTCGAAATTGTACAAAGAGACATGTGGGAAATAGTTATATGTTTGAAATTATCTGTTTCCTTTTTCTGTTTTTCCTTACATGACTGTGGGGTCTAACATACACTGTAAAACAAAAGACATGGGCTAAGGACCTCTGCTCAAATAGCAATAATCTCTAGATCTCCACTTTGAACTATCAGCTCAGGAAATTTAAGCAAGGTCTGCTCAGCCTTAGTCACTTCATGTATATGGCTGGCTTACCTGGAGAGTTGCTATGGGTCTTGTACCAGATCCATTTATATTATCTTTAGTAATAGACAAGAAAAGATATACACAGATGGTCCAAAGTAAGGAAACCCTGAATAACCAACAAGTATGAAAATGTGTAACGAGGGCTGGGGAGACAGCTCAGTAGAATAAGTGCTTGCCTGGCAAATGCAAGGGCCTGAATTCAATCCTTGGTTCTGAAAAAAGAAAAAAAAATCTGGTGGGTGTAGGAGCTATTTTAAGTGCAATGAAAATGTGTAATGAAAACTGGGAAAATGTAATGTAATACCACATAAGCTCTGATTTCACATCCACTGGATTAATAGTACAGTAAATCTGACTTTCTTAAGTTTAGGTGATGACAGAGAACTTCTGTAGGACAATTATCAAGGGTTCTGTAGTATTTATTTCAGATTTTGGACATGGTTCCCCTCAATGTCTCCATGGTGTGGAAGGGGCTTGTATCTCTCAATAACATTTTCTGCTGTCTCTTTCAGAGTGAGATCCTGATATAAAGTCAAAGTAGAAAGAAATCACATATTAGAGTTCATGCAATAATTCAGTAAAACAACACAAAGAGAGAGGAGAGAAAATGATTTTGGTTTTATTTTCTGGCCCTGCCATTTAGGAAGCTGTTGCTTAACCTTTGTGTATTTTCATTCCATCACTCTACACACCAAGGCTTCAGGAGACTTACCTGGCTGAATAGATCAGCTTTTTTGTGTTCAGAAAATGACATGAAAACTAGCCCTCTTCTTATTAACGACAAGAAGTTGACATGGTTATTTTTGGGAAATTCCCTCAAGTTGACCCATGCATTCTGCTTCCACAAAGCAACTAGAAGAGGGCATCAGCTGTCTTTCTAGCCTTGTATTTAGGGGTGGGAGTGAATGTGAAGTCTATAGGGAAGTGGAAGAGGATATATTAAAGGATATTTGTCTGTTCTTCCTGCTTTATTTTATAGGGGAAAGATATTCCCAACCTGCTAGATGTCTGGTACAAGTTTGTGTTCTCCAAAATCAAAGAATGAATTTTAGAACAACGAAGGTTAAGGATAAAATATATTTATTATGAGAAAGAAATCTTGTGTCAGAGAGAGACAAAGGGGGTTCCAAATAGGTTGCCAAGGACCCTGCCTTTTCTAGAAAATGATATAGAACAAATCCACAAGGTGAGGTGGGTCCAAGGGGGGGAAAATTGGAAATCACAAGTTGGTCATGAGGTGGGACAAAACTATGGTCAAGCAGTAAGATTGTGAGTATAACTAACTGCTCAGGTAAAATTGATTCAATTGGAATCAAATGGGAAAGCAAGTCACTTATAGTGTTAGGTTTTTCTCACAGTGCAGTAACAAGATAGGAAAGATAAAAGAGGCCTTTATTGACTAAACAACAAGGAGAGAATCTGAGGGAAGATGGGGGGCAATCCTCTGATGATACAAAAAAAGCTGAGACTCTTATAGACTTTTGCTAGAGGTGGACTCTTGAGGGGAAGTTTTAATTACATATATGGAGCTGACTGGGATCTCCCCTATGTGCATGGGAAAGGTGAGAGGAAATTCTGTCCAGGACTAGGTTGAGGAAGAAGGAAGGAAGTGGTCTCTGGGAAGATAAGCTGTTGTTTTAAGGGCTTCAGCCATGTTAGATGACCACCATAATAATTCAGCAATTCATACTAGGGCCAGAACCTATGACATAGAACAGGGGCTTTACCTGGAAGGGGTTAAAGTTAGTGACTCTTTCTGGCTTTCTGAAGGAAACCTACAGTTATTTAGAATATCAAGCCCTGGTGTTTATCCTTGGGAAGTATGTGGGTGCATTTGTTTTATCTTTTGTCTTGAGGTCTGGCCCACAGTGGAGGTGCTTGCCTCTCCCACAGTTGTAAGGTATCTTGCTTTCTGCACTGGCTCCTCTGAGAGCCTAGGCCTATCTGCCTGCCTATAATATATTTATCTAACTTAGTTGCCTATAACACTTAGAAAAGGTAAGTATGTTAAATAACTAAACATATAAAACTTGACAATTTAGAAAGAAATTACTAGTATGACATAAAAAGAACCGAACACACAAAAAATGGGTCATTTCAAGAGTCTGTGAGCAGCAGGAACTCAATGTACTGTATGAAAAATTTCTAACTATAAGATATTGTACAGATTGGTAAAAATGCATGAAATTTACAAAGAATATATTTGTATCTAATTTAAAGAACATGGCCACTGTATGAAGTATACATGTGTACTAGAATCTTTTCTTTACATAGATATAATTTTCATTTCCTTGCAGAATATTCATCCAACATATATCTAACAAGCATCTACTACATGATTGGAGGTGTTAAGAAGGCAGGCACTTAATCAGACTGCCTGGGCAAAAACTGACACTTAACTAGGTTAGCAATATGAGGCAACTGACCTAATCTCAGTCCCTCAGCCTCCTCATTTAGTAACAAGTATAACAATAGCACTACCTACTTCAGGGATTGTGGTAACAATGACTGCTTGTTGGATGCAAGCAAAGAACTTTTCAAAGCCCAAATCTGGAGGGTGGATGGCTATATAACTGATTTCCTCTACATTAGACAAAGAAAAGATGGACTTTCTCTGGATGTCCTAAAGACTGGCTATATAAATAATATCATTCCATTTTCTATTGTGTGTCAGTTTTCCAGGCAACATGCATGATTGAAAAACAATGGAGCCTGTATCAGAAAAATTCACTATAGTGAAGACACTGCATACTGTTTAGGACAAAGGAAAAGAAGCTTCAGAATATTTTATAGAGTACTAGTGATATAGGGAAATAAAACTCCCAACCTGAAAGATACCTGCACCAAGAAATAATGAATTTTAGG